GTAGCAGTCTTGTGTACCGGTGCTTGTTTGAAGGCTTTGTATTCTCGGGGTTCCCCGCAACACGTAACGTGCAGCAATACAACGGCGTGCGTGTAGATCTCCTGCGTTGTCTACATCAACTTGAAGAATGATGCAGTCGAGCTAAACTGTAACAGCAGCACTCTATCTCACCATAGCGCCACGCGGCTGGCCGGGAAGCGCACGCTGCCGTAGAACACAGCAGCATCTGCGGCAGGGCCGATGACGCTGTCATTCCTATCCTTCGCCGGTTGAAGCTTTTGCCCGTGTCGGCTGTGGCGAATCCCTTCGAGAATCCAGCGTCCTGCCGTCCTCGACGAGCCGCCACCGCTAGCCAGGCTAGAGATCTCCTTGTTCTTATCGGCGGTGCTGATACATGCTGTACCTGTACGGCCGTCGCGCCGGGAGCAGGAGGCGAGGGACTCAGCGGATGTATCGCTGGCTTCCTCGGCGGCGAAGTAGGAGGATACGCGTCGCTTGACTCTGGGCTTTCCGCTGTTGTTGCGCCGCTGGAGAATGAGGGTGCGCTCGCTGTCGGTGACTGCCAGGGTCGGGTGAGGTCGACGAGCCATGGGTTTGACCACGCCGCCCACCGCCGCTGCGACAAGGCAGGCAGTGCACGCACCAGAACAGGATTGGTTTGATTTAAAAATTGAAATCTGACATGACGGAGCCCCCATTGATAAACCCCGTTCAGAATCCCAACCGTGTGTCCCCCACTTGTTCACGGATTGATTGTCTTTATCTTTTGGTGCCTGGCCCTCTCTCGATAGCTCGATGAGGTGTATGGATAGGAGCGGATGCATCGAGGCGAAGGCATGAGATGAATGATTGGACGTTTTCTCGCCATTCATCATAGTGCTCCGGGAGAGACTCATGTCGCTGCTGGTGCGTATATCTTGTTGGCCATCAGACATGACAGTTTCACGGCTCGCTGTGCCGCCGTACGTGAGAGGTTGCATCGATCGACGGATATCTTGTGGCCAAGGAGTAGAATATCATCGTTGACTCGTGCAGAAGTATGGTAGGTCGGGGAGCATTGAGTCATGTTGCAGAGATGTTTGTGGTGTAAACGTACCGCTCTAAGTACGATAGTCTAGCTCATTTATCGAATGAAAATACACACGTTGTGGAGCGGAGAAAGATACGGTCGACACACAGCGTTTTTTTTTTTTTGGAGTGTCTTTAACGCGGGGAAGTGTCTTTAGGATTCCGGGGCCACTAACTCACCGTCCCCGGGGTCAATGGAGGTGTAACATGTGTCAAAATACGCGCATTTGAAGCAGGAATGCGACCACGAAATTGTGCTGCTTAAAAACTGCGACAACACGTCAATTGAAGGCCGCAACACTACTGCTGCTGTACTCCAATACTGTACACATTTTTGAATTTCCCTCCACCACCGAAACGCGGGAAGGAGTACAGCACGACCTATTGTAATGTGTACGGCAGTGTGCGCTGGTGTTGTTATAGGCTTTTCTTATTGTCAAGGCGTTCTCCTCACGGTGAACATCATGCCCGTGATATCGCGAACACACCTGAGACACATCAGTTTGTTGGAACTAGCTCTGATACGATACACGCAAGTTACCTGCCACATAGGGACCAAACAAACCCAGTCGACCCCTTAGAGGGATCTGAGGGACACTAGGAAACGGTCGGTGGCGCAGACCACAACATACAAAAAATAGGGTAAACCCACCGAAAAGAGAACACTGCTCTTCCCCAAAGGTCAACAGGAGGCAAAAACACAAAACAATAAATGCCAAAATTTAACTCCACGAGAAAGGCAAAAAAATCCTAAACAATGAATGTGGGCTGCCAAGTGTGTTGTCCTCAAACACCAAAAACTACGTCGCCCACACATCCCGAAGAGTCGCCTGCACCTCACCCCCCTCCTTCGTTCTTCGCTTGACTTGAGTTTCATGAGTGAACGAATGCACAGTCTTCGAAAGAAGGTACACCGTTTCGCTGTACTCGCCGTCTCTTCCGTTCGCGTACAAATAGGAGCGGACATCCTCGAGACGAGAGCGAACCTCGGCCTCTGAAATCGTAGATGTCATGCACGACTCTTGCCTACCGTCCTGGTCTTCCTCTTCACTGGACACGTCGTCTTCGACGTGTACTCTTGACATGTTCTCCGTTACCTCTTCCATCTCGAGTTCTACCTCTTCCCTCAAGACCTCTTCATCGTCCTCTACACTAAGCCACGTGCTCACTGCGCTCCGCACTTCTTGTTCAGTGAGGCCGGAGGTGCTCTCGACGAACAAGTTGTCCGACAACACTCGCGGCATGGACCTAGCGTCCAAGTCCTTGGCACTCTCCGGCAAGGACATCTTCTTGACCACTTCCATGGGACTGCTGCTGCTGCCAGCCTGGTCTCCACCTTTGCTCTTCTGGCAATCCGAGCACTCTCTCTGCTGTCCGTAGCCTTCCTCTCCGATGCCCCGACCACAAAACGCGTGCATGGATCGCCCGCACGGGCACTGGTGAACCGCTGACACGAGTTGAGACTTTTGCTGGCACGTGGGTTCGCCACATGGCCTCAAGCCGGCAGCTGACGACCCGCCAGCAGATGGGAGGAATCTCTCCATACCCACACGCAGTAGTGCGGGCTGCAGCAGACCGCTGTCGATGTTACGATGCCTTACAGATTTGCTGCCCCAGCAAAATTTTTTTGGGGGGGCGCATAGTGGAAATGCTACCCCCCTATATTATTGTACATCTGCGGGGCACCATGTTCTGGGGAAAAAATGTGTCTTTATAGCGGGGAGTTTCATTAAGAAGAGTGTCTTTAAAGCGGGGACGACTGTATTTAATATTTGTTGTCAAGTACCTATATCGACAACTTTTCTCTTGGGAGCCGTCGTGCCCCATCGTTATTTTTCTCACGCCCGTGTTACTTCATCGTCTGCGGCAGCACCGTGCTTCGCGTGGAGGACGTGTTACGGTCGCTGAGACCCTTCTCCAGGCAGGCGCTGATGGTGAGCACGAGAGTGAACGCCGCTGTTGCACCAAGCCAAGCAAGGGCGTTCGTAGTCTGTAGATACTGGTCTACAATATTACGTCTTAGGGGCGAATTGCATTACTTCAAGCATAGACTACTACGCTGGTTTACTACACATAACTGCTTAACTAACCCACCAAGAAAGACGCGTGTAAACATTGTCCGATTTAAGACTGAGATAACCACGAGCTTGTGCCGCGTGGGCAGGATGAAAAACCCCAGATCGATCGCTGCACAAGGAACTTCAGAGATGAGGGTCGGCGGCGAGATGTTGTAGTCGATTCATAGTGGGTGTGACCCGCGTTCCCAAGGCAAATGTTCCACTCTTGGTGTATGCATATGCCGAAACGACAACACACGGTCGCCCCCCGCGAACGACAAGTTTATGTGCCATACATCCCTCAATTACCTTTCGGTTACACTAAGTCATGCCCTTGGACCCAAAACAGCGAACATGCCGGGGCAACGAGGGAAAACTCCGTTGCACGAGGCCTCACGGGCGGGATGTGCGCGTGTTGTCTCGCTTCTGGTGAAGCACGGAGCGAATGTCAACGCTGAAGACAGGCGAGGGAGGTGACCTACCACACGGCGTATTCAATACCACTTTGTGACTTAATCAATTCGACCGTCGCATGGCAACACGATCGATCATATCGCAAACACTGCACTGCTAAAATAGGGCGGGGGGAGGGGGGGGGGNCATGTTGAGATCCCCATCAATAAGGGGACAAGTGAAGGGCACAATCTCCCCAACGTCTGTCGAGGAGGATTCCCGCTTGTCACACTACCGTCATTTTTATCATCTTTCAACCTTTCATCTCTCGTCATTTACCCATAACTTCGACTAGACGTACGTCATATTACGAAGTAATCATTTTCCGCCCCCAATTCACGCTCGTTCATTTGGGGTGGCTCTAGGACCCCTCTACACTACACTACCAGCGATGAGGTTAGGCGAGTGCTCCTCGATACCGGGGCGAACCCTGACGCAAGGGATAATATGGGAGAGGTGAGATTGCCCATGCGTGCGATTCCGTCCTCAACTGCGTCTGCCTCTAGTTGTGCCAATTGCCATACTCTGCCTGCGTGTTGGATGTGCGTATGATGTGAACGCGCTCTGCCTCGTTCTTGATAGGTTGGTAACTAACTCTCCTACCGACACCAACAAACGATTATCACAGGGTACGAATGTTGTCAGCCACGGATTATCGAAAAGGCGGTACAGTTCCTGTCAGAACAAGAAGTATAAACCTATACTGCCAACCTCTCTCGTAGCTTACATGTCACTCCAGTCCACCTTCGAACGTTACACTCGGGAATGCAATGCGTGTGACGACATCTCAGAAACCACACCTCACCGTGGGAACAAGCGAGTCTTCCTCGAGGGAGTTCGGCAGAAACAGCAGACCGCGAAGGCTGCTCGTTGACGCCTCCTACGCACACAGCAGCAGTAGTATTCCCAGAAGCAGCGAAGACGACGTCGACAAGCTACACGATGCCCATCGAGACGGCCGGGAGCGAGATCTCGAAACGAGTGTCGTCCGGAGACTGAAGGTGCGATGTTTGTTTCGCCAGAAACGTTTGGTTAAGCAACGTGTGTGCCTCTCATCGGTTTACCTCGAAGCCACTCGATCAATAGGACCCACCCTCCATCCCACCAAAAAGAAAAATACGGCTCTGTGATTGAGATGGAGAGGAATTCCCGACGACACCAGAAACCTTGGTGGGAAGCAACCTTTTGAAAGCGCCATCTTCGTTGACATCCCGGTCTACAACAGGACTTCAGAGCGTCATGACTGTTTCAGCCAACTGACTCGGGTCGTCCGTTTCTTTACTTTTGCATGTCACCCCGTACCGGTGAAAAGGAGAGCTTGAAGCGCAGCGAGCGTTTAGCCACATGGCTGGAGAATCACCTCCCGAAACACCACAGCGACACCTCGTGTCTCAAGGTGTGTTCGATGTGTGCGCTACCCTGCATCTGCTATCGGCCGTTTTAAACGGACCGACGTTTTTGTCAAAATTTTCGACATTTGTCTTTCAAAAACTTGGAACCTGTGTGCAGTCATTTTAAACGTGTGACGTGGACTTGTGCAACTTGTGTCAAAAAAAATGACGCCGTCCGTGAGTTGTAGCGCTCACTTCGAGACAACACACACGACACAACACAAACCGCGGAAAACACGACATCATGGACACCGACATGGATATCACGACCACCCAGCGTGGCCGGCAGACCAAAACCCCGGCGAAATTCCAGCAGACGGGCTCTCTCGGTGCCGCCGTAGGCGGTGGAGGCTTGCTCTCCAGCAAGATAGTGCTGCTGCCTGGCATCTCGGGGAACACTCATGTTACCACGGGAGGCGCTGCCGCCACCAACACTCAGAGCGAGGGTGGAGCAGGCCGCCGGCGAGGGGTGGCAACCACTGCTCCTACCCCCCCGGGAAAAGGAAAAAACAAAGCGGCGGACGCGAAGCAACAACTGCAAGCCATCATGGCGGACCGCCGTTTCTCGGACGACACAGCAACAGCAGACAGCATCGTCAACGTTGGCAACAGCGACGATAGCAATAGCGACAGCGACAGATGACTCACACACAACCCTAGCTGACTTTCTACGGTGAGGGGCACTCGTGGTGCAGACGCAGCAGCCCTCGCGTGCCTCTGCAAGGGTACTTTGGAAAGTGCTCCAAATACTTTGAGAGGGTTGTCAAAAAGTTGGAACGAAGTGGAGCAAAGTTTTCGCGCCCAACTTCGTTCCAAATATTTTTGAAAAAAATGGACAAACGCCTACATACAGGTTCCATTTTTTTGACACTTTCAAAAATTTTGACAAAAAGTCGGTCCGTTTAAAACGGCCCTATCAACAGGGTAGCCGGTCACCTCATACCACCACAATAATACAGCAGCGAGTCTCAAAACAGCAGTTTCACGCACCTTCTGGTATGCCGGTAGGTGTTAACCTTGAAGAAAACTATCGGCGATTCTGTGTGTTTGAAGTCCGGCGAGGTGTGTTTTCCGCGCATTTTGCACCTGCCTTGGGAGCGGAGAGCGCTTGTTCGTATCGAGGGAAGCACTGCTAAACTCTTTTCTAACAAGAAATTCAGACACGTGTATTGTGGAAGATTGCTCGTGCGACCCCGCATCGGAGCTCCTCGATTCGAATGGCAAAGGCCGCAGGAGTGGGTGGACGATGCGAGCAACGGTTCATGAGACGAGGGACTATAGAAGCAGGAACGGATTCTGACGCTAATAGTGTACTTCGTTCTCTGTGAGTTTCTAAGTGAAACGTCGAGAATCTTCACCAACTCGAGGAATGTGGGCGACCTGCTCCACAATACCCTTGGCCCAACAAAAGGCGTTCGTCACTGAACCCTGCTACGTTTCGTCGTCAACTCGTGGTTTTGCCCTTGTTCCCCGCTTGTCGTGACTCTACATGTTGTCCGTGAAACGTCCGCTTTCTTCAGGAATACAGCTCAAGAGGACGACGCGACGGTCGTAGAGAGTACCGTAGACCCTCTGAGCCCACGACTGCCCTCGACACTTCCAGCGACCACATGTGTCTGAGAAGGCCACGACGTAGAAACAGCGGGAGAGAATCTCCCGCGATCGCGAAGGTAGCACGTTGCGTTAAGGGTAGTGATAGACGTGCGTCCGACGAACCGGGAGGGAGAAACAAGTACGTTAGAAATAGTCGCAGCAAACCGTCTTGGGCGAACGGGGGGGAAGCCAACGCCAAGGGCACACGGCAGGGCTTTCGTCCACATTTCAGCGACGATGAGCTCGGTTCGCTTGCCGGAGGAGACGACAAGAGTTGGTGGTGCACGCATGAAAACCTGAGTGGTACTGACTGCAGCGATCATGACAATTACCCCGGGGTCAGCGTAGTAGATCGACGCCACAGTTCCACCGCAGGACAGGGTGTTAGGTATCCAGGAAATACTTCGTCTCGACCACGAAGGCGTCATCCGGAGCGTCGTGTCCGAACCAGGCCGCAAAGAAACAGATCGAAGCGACCAGTGTCAATCGACGAACAAGTCGAGCGGATCGGTGCGCATCGTCTTGTTAGGTCGATAAGCACCGCGACGTTGGAGACGACTGCCGGAAGCCATTCACCAGGCAGCCCGGGAGGCCAGGGGGGGGGGGGG